GATAGAAATGGGCACGCCTTGCGATGAAGCAACCAGCGGAAAGGTCTCCAGCCCCGCCGCGTCTACAACCGCCTTGAGATCGGCGACGTAATCCTCGATCCTTGTGCCCTTGAGCTCTGCCTCGGAAAGCCCTGTCCCTCGCTGGTCGTAACGGATGAGGCTGTAGCGGGAACTGAGTTCCTTCAGGTAAGGGCCCCACACCGGGCTCGACCAGTCCTTTTCCAGGTGTGTGAGAAAATGTCCGGCCCTCACCACGGGACTGCCATCACCTGATCGTGCGTAGGCGATCGAGGTTCCGTCCTCCGATCGGACGAAATGAATGGTTTGCATGCGTTTCGCCGTCCCGGCGGGCGACGTCTCGTTGCAATCAGTCTCTACCGGGGCGACCAGTTCAAGTCCCCGGCGCTGCACGGTCCGGATAACAGCCTGGGATTTGCCGTTGTCTCCGACAGCGGTCCTGGCGGCATTGATCCGGGCACTGATCGTTGCCTCCGACACGATCCTCCCATCCCAGACACGCTCGATGATCTTGTCTTTCGAAACGAGTTTGCCGGCATTTTCAACAAGCAGAGAAAGAAGCTCGAACACCTGCGGCTCAACCGGAACAGCCGTTCCAAACCGTTGAAGTTGATAGCTTTCCGTGTCCAGGACGCAATCTGCAAATTCGTAGCGCACGCGACCCCCAACGGCAATATTCAACGGGATCAGCGTACTTGAAGAGCACATTCAACGCAATTTGGCAGGTGGAAAATCAAGGAAAACACAAGCTGTTCTAAAGATTCCCTTCAAGCGGGAACCGTCATGGGCGTCCATTCTGCTTGCATCAGTTCAAGGGGAAAGATCATGACCGGACACTCAACTGACTACCGCACGCTGAACGATGGATCGATTGACCTTGCGTTCTATGACAAACGGGCAAGAGCCATTCGAAGCAACGATGCTTACAACATACTTGGGTTGCTTTTCAGCATCCTCCGGTCCTCATGTTCCTCTCTGTTTTCGAAATCAGGAAACACATTCAGGAATGCGAAACGGACCGCGCAGGGCACGGAAGATCCAGTTTCACTTGCCGTTTCCTGATTTCCCGATTTTCAGGTCTTTGCATAGGTCGCCTCGTCGACCGCTTCGAGCCAGTCGGCAACGGCCCCATCGCTTTCCTCCTGGATCGCGAGATGCACCAGGGAGGTCTGCGGACCGGCACCGTGCCAGTGTTTCATGCCGGGTGGAATCCAGACAACGTCACCGGGCAGGATCGGCAGCTTGTCCTGCCCCCAAAGCTGCACGAAACCGGCACCATCAAGCACATGAAGGGTTTGTCCCAGCGGATGCGTATGCCAGTGGGTCCGGGCAGCCGGTTCGAAAAACACTCTCAAGGCCCTCACCCGTGCGGGCGCGGGGGCTTCAATCACCGGTTCCTGCCAGACAATTCCGGTGAAATAATCCGGGTTGGCGCGTTTGCTCGGCCTGGAACCGGCCTTGTAAACGGTCAGAAAGCTCATAAGATCCCTCGCCAGTTACTTGACAGCAGTCGTCGATTTCACCGCGCTGCTGCTCTTTGGCCAGTTGATCAGAATGACCCCCAGAATGGCAAGGCAAATTCCGGCGAAGGTTTCCAAATCCAGTCTTTCGGACAAAAACATCACGCCCAGGAAAACCCCGACACCTGCGCGCAGGTACGCCTGGCTTGCGGTGCCCATGGCTCCAAGTGTCGAGAGCAAACGGAAATAGATCAGGAAAGCCAGCGCCGTGCAGGCCAGGCCGAGAACGATCGTAGAAGTCCATCCGACAGCATTCGGTGACAGGGTCCAGGGTTCCTCGGTCAGAAGGCTCAGGGGCACAAGCACCAATGAGGAGCAGACAAGGGTGCCGGTCGCAGGCACGATCGGTGGCAAACCCTTGAAAAGTTGCCCTCGAAGAGCCGCCATGCCGTAAAGCGCGGCGCTGAAAAAGACGGCGAGTTGCGGAACGAGGTTCTGGCCGAGACTGTCCAGTGCCCCTACACCGATGATCAGCACAACTCCGGTGAAGCCGAGCAGCGCGCCGGTCAATTGACGGCCTCCCGGAAACTGGCCACGTCGCAGCACAAGATAGGATAGTGCAAAGACCCAAAGCGGTGATGTGGAATTGAGGACGCTTGAAACCGCCGTTCCGGCATATTGCTGTCCCCAGGCCAGAAGCAGCCACGGACCGGTGCTGTTTAAAAGCGACTGGGTGAAGAAGAGCCACCAGCTTCGCCGGTCCATCGGCAGACCCATGCCCTGAAACGTCATGATCAGCAAGAGCACGGCCGAAGCCAGCACCACGCGTATGGCCATCAGGGTTGCAGGCGGAAACGTCTCAAGTGCAAGACCGATCCACATGTAGGACGAGCCCCACAACAGGGCGAGACACCCCAGCAGTACGTATTCGAAAGACCGGTTCTGCATGATCCGAAGCGTCAGCCGTGCACTGCAAGGCTGTCAGAAGGCGCAGCTTCGCGGTCATCCATGCCGTAGTCCCGAAGAACATGCGCGACACGCAACCTGTAGTCCTTGAAATAGCTGGTTCTGCCGATTTGCTGCGCTTTTCTGTGTGCGGTCAGCCTGCGCCATTCATTCAAGGCTTCTTCGTCGCGGAAAAACGAAACGGAAAGCAGTTTTTCAGGGTCGCTCAGGCTCTGGAAACGTTCAACGGAGACAAAGCCATCGATCTCTTCAAGAAGCGGGCGTATCTCTGCCGCCGTATCAAGATAGTTCTGCTTTTTGTCCGCATGCGGAATGACTTCGAAAATCACTGCAATCAATTTCCACTCTCCCCTTCGCCATGCGGCGCGGAGGCCAGTGTCAGAAACGTGCGGTCCTCCCGCAAGATGAATTTTTCTCTCATGGCGAATTCATAGTTCATTTGTCCGAGTGGATCGGCGGCAAGTCGCGCGCGATAGGCTTCATAGGCGGCCAGATTTTCAATGGAATAAACGCCATATGCACGTGTGGTTGATCCCTCGTGTGGCGCAAAGTAGCCGATCAGGTTTGCGCCACAGCGAGGAATCGCCTGCCCCCAGTTTCGGGCATATTCCTCAAAGGCAGCCCTTTTTGTGGGGTCGATGTGATAGCGGATAAAACATGTGATCATCATCCGGTCCTTTTCAGTTGGTCCTGAGGACGGTTTATGCCATGGTCTGCGGTGAGAATGCTTCGATGAGGATCGAACCATGAAAGACGGACCAGACATTGCTCGCATCGGCGCCCTGATCGGAGATCCGGCCCGCGCCAACATCTTGAGTGCCCTCATGAGCGGCAAGGCACTGACGGCAACGGAATTGGCGGCCGAGGCCGGCATCACCGGCCAGACGGCCAGTTCGCACCTGAAAAAACTGCAGGAAGGCGGGCTGCTGGTTCAGGCCAAGCAGGGCCGTCACCGCTATTTCACGCTTTCAGGCCCCGATGTCGGCACGACGCTCGAAGCCCTCATGGGACTTGCGGCCCGCAAGGGGCATTTGCGCACGCGCACCGGGCCTCGCGATCCGGCCATGCGAACGTCCCGCGTCTGTTATGATCACCTTGCCGGCGACATGGCGGTCAGGATCTTCGACAGTTTGCAGTCACGCGATTTTTTGAAAATCACACAGGACAAGGGAGGTTTGGGTCTTACAGCCAGCGGCGAAGATTTTGTCACCGGTTTCGGTGTCGATCTCGCGGGTCTCAGGTTGTCGCGCCGCCCGATCTGCCGGGCCTGTCTTGACTGGAGCGAACGGCGTAACCACCTAGCAGGATCACTCGGAGCAGCGCTCCTGGTCCGGTTCCAGGAAGAAGGCTGGCTTCGGCGCGAAAAAGACAGCCGTGTGGTCCACATTTCTTCACACGGCCACGAAAACCTAAACAGGCTTTTTCCTTCAAGCCTGGACTAGAATCCATCCGGCTCCACGAACTACGCGGGACCGGTTTCAGTCAATTCTGTAACTCACTTGGGATTCAATTCTAACGTGCCTCACCAGGTCGACAACAAGAAACGGGTTGCCCTCGTCATCAAAGCCTATCCGGTTGCGCTCATTTTGATCAGCCTCGCGCTAAATCTGGCGGTCTTCGGGATCACCACCACGTCGATTGCCTTGCCTTCGCACGAAATCCTCGTTTCACTTGTCATTGCAGGACTGATGCTTGTCTTGAACCACACCTGGTTGATGACAAGCACCGAGTTGACGAGGCTTAAGTTCAACATTCGCGCAACGCCTGAAGAATGGAAAACCAGCGGCTTCACCAGGGAAGATGTCACGCAAGACGGGTTCGCCGAATTGGAACGGCATCACAATGCCCACAGAAATGCAACGGAGAACACCACGTTGTTTGTCCTGTTGGCTTTCGTTTTTTCGCTGGTGTCTCCATCTGCCATGGCGGCAGGCTTCTGGCTGATCGGATTTGCACTTGGACGGCTTGGCCACACATTCAGCTATTTGACCGGCAGGAGCGGTGCGCGCGGATTGTTCATGAGCCTCAGCCTGCTTTCCCTGTATGGGATGGCAGGGTACCTGGCGATCAGTTTGCTGATTTAGGGAGTTAATGCAGAAAGAAGTGTCGTTGGTCTGGTTTGAAACCGGGAGCGACAAATCATCAGAAAATTTCTCTGCTTGGTCAGGAACCTGATACAGAGCAACCAGATTTCGGGAGACGCCAAACGTCTCCCGAAACCTTGGGATTGCTTCCCGCCAGGATCGAAGCAGCCTAGCTGGCAACTCTGCGAAGCGGCCGCGGTTAGCTGTCTGGCGGTGCTGAACCAGAAGAACTCTGGTCGTGTGCACAGTCTTTTTCTGTCATTTGTGGTCCGCGAATCGAAATCCCCGTCCACCTGATGAGTCTCATTCTAGCGCACTGCGTGCACTTTACAAGAACGCACCTTGTCATTGATCGAGGAAACACCTGTTTGAACTCCCAGACCGTTCTGTTTGCTCACAAAAAACAAGAAAGCCTCCCGTGGTCTTTCCCCGGGAGGCTTCTCATCGACAGGTAATATCAAGGCGGGCAGGACTACTCTGCAGCTTCCATGCGCGCCGGATCGTAGTTCAGTATCGGCGCCAACCAGCGTTCTGCCAGGCCGAGATCCCAGCCCTTTCGTGCAGCATAGTCTTCGACCTGGTCTCTTTCGATCTTGCCGACGCCAAAATAGTGGCTGTCCGCGTGGGCAAGATACAGTCCGGAAACCGACGACCCTGGAAGCATCGCACGGCTTTCCGTCAACTGGATTCCGGTGAGCCTTTCCGCATCCAGAAGGCGGAACAGGGTATCCTTTTCGGTGTGGTCCGGCTGGGCCGGATAGCCAGCCGCCGGACGAATGCCCTGATAATTCTCGGCAATGATTTCCTCGGCCGAAAGAGTTTCATCTGTGGCGTAACCCCACACGTCCTTGCGAACGATCTGGTGCAGTTTTTCCGCAAAGGCTTCCGCGAGCCGGTCCGCGAGCGCCTGGGACAGGATCTTGTTGTAGTCGTCGCTTTCGCGGGCATACCGGGCCGCGAGCTCGTCTTCGCCGTGACCTGCCGTTACCGCGAACCCGCCGAGCCAGTCATCAACACCGCTCTCGTGAGGCGCCACGAAATCGCTGAGTGCAACATTGGCCCGCCCGCCCGCATTGCGGGACATTTGCTGCCGCAACGTATGGAACGTGGCCAGTTCTGCAGACCTGCTTTCATCGGTAAAGAGGCGTATGTCGTCCCCGACCGCGTTGGCCGGCCAGATACTGGCAACACCGCGTGCCGTCAAAAGCTTCTTTTCAACGATCTCATCCAGCATCCGGCGGGCATCGTCGTAAAGCGCCTTGGCTGCCGGACCATATCGGTTGTCCGTGAGGACGCCCGGATACCGCCCCTTGATCTCCCAGGTCGCGAAGAACGGCGTCCAGTCAATCACCGGCACGAGCTCTTCCAGCGGAAAGTCGTCAAACACGGTACGTCCGGGCTTTCTGGGCGCAATCGGTGGCTTGCCTTCAAAGTCGCACTTGAACGCATTTTTCCGGGCCGTCACGATAGAAGCGCGTTTCTGCGTCCCCCGGCTGGCGGCATGTTTTTCGGCAACGTCGGCATACTCCGTGCGTACATCGGCAAAATAAGGTTCGCGCGCGCCTTCGCTCATCAGTTTGGTCGCAACGCCGACGGCCCGCCCGGCATCGGTTACGTAGATCGCCTGTCCGCGCGCGTAGTTCGGGTGAATCTTCACGGCGGTGTGGATTTTCGATGTCGTCGCACCGCCAATCAACAGCGGCAGTTCCATGTTTTCACGCTCCAGCTCGGCCGCGACATGGCACATTTCATCGAGCGAAGGAGTGATCAGCCCGCTCAAGCCGATCATGTCCACCTTTTCCTCTTTCGCCGTTTCCAGGATTTTGGCTGCCGGTACCATTACACCGAGATCGATGACCTCGAAATTGTTGCACTGGAGCACGACGCCGACGATGTTCTTGCCGATGTCATGCACATCACCCTTCACGGTCGCCATCAGGATCTTGCCTGCAGACGAATGTCCGGTCAGACCAAGTTCCGCTTTCTCCTTTTCCATGAAAGGCATCAGATACGCGACGGCCTTTTTCATCACGCGCGCGGACTTCACCACCTGTGGCAGGAACATCTGGCCGGAGCCGAACAGGTCGCCGACCACGTTCATTCCATCCATCAGCGGACCTTCGATCACATGCAAAGGACGATCGAATGCCTGGCGTGCTTCCTCGGTATCCTCGACAACGTAGTCATCAATGCCATGAACAAGAGCATGCTCCAGGCGCTTGGCAACACCCCAGGTGCGCCAAGTGAGATCGGCTTCCCTTTTCTTGCCGCCTTCGCCTTTCCAGCGTTCGGCCGCATCAAGCATCCTGTCCGTCGCATCGTCACGGCGGTTCAGCACGACGTCTTCGCAATGGTCGCGAAGATCGGCACTGAGGTCATTGTAGACTGCAAGCTGGCCTGCGTTGACGATTGCCATATCCATGCCACGCTGAATGGCGTGGTACAGGAATACGGAGTGCATTGCTTCACGCACCGCCTCATTGCCGCGGAATGAGAACGACAGGTTCGATACACCGCCCGAAACATGGGCATGGGGCAGATTTTCGCGTATCCAGCCGGTCGCCTCGATGAAATCGACACCGTAGTTGTTGTGCTCCTCGATCCCTGTTGCAACGGCGAAAATATTGGGATCGAAGATAATGTCTTCCGGTGGGAACCCGACGACGCCGGTCAAAAGTTCATAAGAACGGGCACAGATTTCGGTCTTTCTTTCGAAGGTATCCGCCTGCCCCTTCTCGTCAAAAGCCATGACGACAACGGCGGCGCCATACCGGCGGATCAAACGGGCCTGTTCGATGAACGCGTCCTCGCCCTCTTTCATGGAGATCGAATTGACGACACCCTTGCCCTGGATGCATTTCAGCCCTGCCTCGATGACGCTCCACTTGGAACTGTCGATCATGACCGGCACCCGGGCAATATCCGGCTCGGCGGCAACAAGGTTGAGAAACGTGACCATGGCATCTTCTGAATCCAGAAGCCCCTCATCCATGTTCACATCAATGATCTGGGCGCCATTTTCGACCTGTTGCCGGGCCACATCGAGTGCCGTCGCATAATCGCCTTCCTTGATGAGGCGCCGGAAACGGGCCGAACCCGTGACGTTGGTCCGTTCACCGATATTGACGAAGTTGGTTTCCTTGGTCAGCACAAACGGTTCGAGTCCGGACAAGCGCATATGCCGTGCGACTTCAGGAATCGGACGCGGTGTCTTGTCGGCAACGGCATCAGCAATTGCCCTGACATGGGCCGGTGTCGTGCCGCAACACCCGCCAACAACGTTGACGAGGCCGGCTGACGCAAATTCCTCAAGCAACCCGGCCATATGTTCGGGACTCTCGTCATACTCGCCGAATTCGTTCGGCAATCCCGCATTCGGGTAAGCGCAGACAAGCGTATCGGCAACCCGGCCGAGCTCGTCGACATGGGCGCGCATTTCCTTCGCTCCGAGAGCGCAGTTGAGACCGACGGTGAACGGCTCCGCATGGCGGACCGAGTTCCAGAAGGCTTCCGGCGTTTGCCCGGAGAGCGTGCGGCCGGACAGATCGGTTATCGTGCCTGAGATCATCACCGGCAGGATCCTGCCGATTTCCTCAAAAACCTCGTCGATGGCAAACAGGGCGGCTTTGGCGTTGAGCGTGTCGAAAATGGTCTCGACCAGAAGAATATCCGCGCCTCCGGCGATCAGGCCACGCGCTGCCTCCGCATAGGAAATCCTGAGATCGTCGAAGGAAACAGCCCGATATCCGGGATCATTGACATCCGGCGAGATCGATGCCGTCCGATTGGTCGGTCCCAGCGCTCCAGCAACAAAACGGGGACGCGCAGGGTCCTTATTCGTGACGATATCGCAGGCTTCGCGCGCAAGTCTGGCGCTCTCCAGGTTAAGTTCGTAGGCAAGTTCCTCCATACCGTAATCGGCCTGGGCAATCGTCGTGGAGGAGAACGTGTTGGTTTCGATGATGTCCGCCCCAGCCTCCAGATAGTCGACATGGATCTTCCGGATCGCATCGGGCTGGGTCAGGCTCAAAAGGTCGTTATTGCCTTTGACGTCACTCGGCCAGTCGGCAAAGCGTTGGCCGCGATAACCGGCCTCGTCCAGTTTCAGGTCCTGGATTTCGGTTCCCATTGCACCGTCAAGCACGAGGATACGGGTCTTGGCGAGGTCGCGAAGTCGCACTAGGGCGTCGGACTTGATCACGGGTATTTCCTTCCGGACAGTCGAGTTAATTTTGGATCGGCACTCAACGTGAAAGTGCCTCTTGAATTGCCGGGCGAGCTGTTCCTTCCTGTTTCAGGCACAGCTTTTCTTGCAGTATTCGGTTTGACCGAGTGCCCTACGCGGGGCCCCTTCCCCACAAGCAGAAGGGAGATTTTCACGGCCTTGGCCAGTTGCCCCCAGTTCCCGTGCAACGCCTGTCTGTCAGAGTTGCCGTGTTCGGAAGCCGAGCCCCTTGTTGTCGAGGGTCAAGTTGAGGGTCTTTCTGGATCGTCAGGCTGCCATGTTCTCCGGTGCCTGCTGTCCCATGCCGAGCATGTGGCAGATCGCGTAGGTCAGATCAGCCCTGTTCATGGTGTAGAAATGGAAGTCGTTGATACCTCGGTCGACCAGATCCATGACCTGTTCACAGGCAATCGCCACGCCAACGAGTTTCCGTGTTTCCGGGTCGTTGTGAAGGCCGGCAAACCTGCGGGCGAGCCATGACGGAATGCTGGTTCCGCATTTGGCCGAGAACACCATGGTCTGCTCGAAATTGTGGATCGGCAGAATGCCGGGAATCACCGGGACGTTGATCCCGGCCGCTGCGATCCGATCCAGATAATCATCGAACATGTCATTGTCGAAGAAATACTGGGTAATGATCCGGTCCGCACCCGCATCAACCTTGCGTTTCAAGTTGTCTATTTCACTCTGCCAGCTGCCGCTTTCAGGGTGTTTTTCAGGATATCCGGAAACGGAAATATCGAAATCGGCAATTTTCTTGATCCCGGCCACAAGATCGGAAGCATAGGCATAGCCATCCTCCCGGGGCACATAGCGACTGCCGATACCTTCCAGCGGATCCCCGCGCAGTGCAACCAGATTGCGCACACCCAGTTTCCAGTAGTCCTCGATGATGGCATCGACTTCTTCGCGAGACGCGCCGACGCATGTGAGATGGGCAGCAGGGCTGAGGTCAGTTTCCCCCAGGATGCGCTCGACTGTCTTGTGGGTCCGCTCCCGCGTCGAACCACCTGCGCCGTAGGTTACGGAAACAAAGGACGGGCTGAGCGGCTTCAGCCGCTTGACCGTGCCCCAGAGCGTTTCAGCCATCTTGTCGGACTTCGGAGGGAAGAACTCAAAGGACGCCGTAATTGGCGATAGAGCGGCCTGGTGTGAGCGGCGGTTGGAAAATTCAGACATGTCAGGCGACCTCTCGGGACGTGTCGCGCGCGGGCCAATCGGTGACGATGCGTCGATCCCGGGCAAGCCAAAGCGTAACGGTTAGGTTGTTTTCTGTGTCGTCTCCCGGAACCAGGTCGGTGACCTGTTCCAGATCGAGTTCAAGAGCCTCCAGCCAGCGCTCCATCTGGTCATGGGCAAAGCCGAGCCGGCGGTGGGCATGGTTGTCGCGCAGAAACTCCAGTTCATGCGGTGCGAAGTCGATGATCATGAGGCGGCCGCCGGGCCGCAGGGCACGTGCAGCTTCGGCAAGTGCCCGCGCCGGTTCATCGAGAAAGTGCAGAACCTGATGGATCGCGACAACGTCGAAAGACCGCGGTGGTACATTCAGGGCATAGACGTCACCATGGCGTACCTGTGCGTTGCCAAGTTTTGATTTTGCCAGATTTGCCCGTGCCACCGCCAGCATGTCGTGCGACGCATCAATGCCAAGCGCCGAGGAATACTGTTCCGAAAAGACTTCCAGCAGCCGGCCCGTACCCGTTCCCAGATCCAGAAACGACTGGAACGGCGTATCCCCGAGCGCTGATTGCATGGCTGTTTCCACGTCATCTTCCGAAACGTGCAGGGAGCGTTCCCTGTCCCAGGTGAGCGCACGTGCGGCGAAGTAGGAAGCAGCCTCCTCCGCCTTGGCCTTGCGAATGGCCCGGAAACGTTCCTGATCAGCGGCAAGAACGGGATCTTCTCTGGAAATACGTTCAACCAGTCCCCTCGCAAGTTCACCTTCAGGGCCATCCGCCAGGCGATAGTACACCCACGACCCTTCAGGAAATCGCTGTATCAGATCCGCTTCGGCAAGAAGTTTCAAATGGCGTGAGATGCGCGGCTGGCTCTGTCCGAGGATCGCTGTCGCATCTTTCACGGTCAGCTCGCTTTCGGCCAGCAATGCGATAAGACGCAAACGTGTGGCTTCGCCGACGGCCCTGAGGGCAGCAAGCGTGTCTTCCACGGAAAGCGTTGGTTCGTCGGTCATGCGTAGTAGCTTATGCCTTGTCAGCATCAATGTCGATATAAAGATATCTTTATATGAACTTGAAAGCAGATGCAAGCGGCAGAAACAAATACGACGCGAATTGGTGACATTACGGCACTCGATGACGTCCGCGACGTCTCTCAACCCTTTGACTTAAGTCCGTGATGCGGTCAATCATGGCTTTTCAATGCGCGTGAAACCGGCAACGCCACAAGGCTACGGGCCCTCTGGCAAGCGCCATTCAGCGTGTCGTTTGATCGGAATTGCGTGCTTGCAGGCCGCCCGGGTTTTTACCGCGAGTTCGATCCGCCTTGTGATGCCAGACTTACAATTCACTGCAAGCAAGACCGGCCGCCTGCAGGCGGCATCCTCGAATGAAGGCAGACCAATGGACCACAGTGATTGGCAGATCATCCTCGACCAGCCTGCGAAGTCTCCTCAGCTTGGTTTTGACCGGTACGCAAACGCATTTGCCGACATCGTGCACAACAGTCCACCCCGGTTTGCAATCGGCATTTTCGGTGGATGGGGGTCTGGAAAGACCACCCTGATGGAGCGCATACGACACAAGCTGAAACCGAACAAGAATATCGTCAAGGTGGACTTCAGCGCGTGGCGCTATGAAAAGGAAGACCACCTGATCATTCCCTTGCTCGATTCAATTCAGGCCGCTCTCGACAAATGGCTCGAGGATCAGGGAGGAAATGATGAAAAGATCGAATCTCTGATCAAAACGATCGGCCAGGTCGCCTACTCAATCACCGCCGGCCTTTCCTTCAAGGCGGGGCTGGGAGATGCCCTTTCAGTTTCCGTCGATGCCAACAAGATGTTGATGTCGGCAAAGAACATCAAGGAAGAGGAAGAAAAAGCAAGCGTTCCGAAATCGTCATATTTCGCCAGTTTTCGCGCCTTGAGCCTGGCATTTGAAACCTTCGCGAAGGACGACCCCGCACGGCGGATTGTTGTGTTCATAGACGATCTGGACCGCTGCCTGCCGAAAGGCGCGCTCTCTGTCCTGGAATCCATGAAACTGTTTTTCGATCTCGACGGTTTCGTTTTTATTGTCGGACTCGACAAGGACGTTATCGCCTGGAGCATCGACAGCATCTACAAGACCGCGGCCCGTGAAGGTGACACGGACGCTCCGCTCGCCCGTCCCATAGAAGGTGCCGACTACATCAAGAAGATTTTCCAGGTCCCTTTCGAATTGCGACCGGTCAGCAGCGACAATGTTGAAGATCTCGTGAATTCCATGGCCCTTGAGGCGAGGCTGCCGCAAACACAAAAAGACGTCCTCATCGACGATATTCTCCCTCATCTGCGCTATCTCGTTTCGGAAGGCGGCGGGATCAACCCGCGAGACGTGAAACGCTACATCAACAATTTTACAATGGCGTCAAAGACGCGCGACCCTGCCAAGGCATTCGACAGCAATGTTTTTCTGACACTCCAGACCCTAGCCACGATACCGGAGTGGCAATTCGTTTATGACGCCTTCCGGGGCAGTCGAGACATGTTCAGGCTCGCGCTGGATCACTACCTGTCGGACGCCAATGATGCGCGTGAAGCACTGAGGGGCTATGATCCTGCCTTTTCCGCACTTCCACCTCTCCTGGAAGAATACCTTCGCGCTCCCAATCTCGGAAATCCCCTCGTGAAGACGGAGACACTCGCGGACTACCTTGAAATCGGAGCCTCTTCACTGGAAAGCTCCGAGGATCTGATCCGGGAGGATTTTGCCAGGGCAATCGCGAACTTGCGTTCTTTGCGCATTGAAATCCTCGACCTGCCCCTTGATCCGCCACCCGAAAACGGCGAACTCAGCGAGCTTTCCGAGAAGTTCTCACACGTCCACAGCGGAATGGCGAGCAATCTTCCGACTTGGGAATTTCAGAAGCTGCAGGCCGACATTCTTGAAGTCGACAGACTGCTTGGCTTCCGTTTTCCCGAAAAATCCGCTCAGGACACGACGGGAAACCGCCTTCCGGAGACCTGGAAGGAAGATCTGGGAAAGGCGTTCCTGCGCATTTTGACCGCCGTCTCATACTATGTGAACGTTGTTAGACGGCGACCGGAGCAGTTCGCAAACACCATGTCGTGAGCGGGCACGGGCGGAAGCAAGTGGAACAAACCCTGCCGCGCTAACTCCGCGCAAGCATGTGATCAAAATTACCGTCCTGAATGCAGGCAGGAAGGTTGGCATGAGGAATGATTTGCGTCCCGACGAGTTCACGCTCGTAAAGCTTTTGAATATCGCTGGTATCGACCGTCTGTCCGTGGACAACCGAGTCCAGCTTGGTCCTGAAGGCCTCAAGACCGCCCATGGAGGAAAAATGCCATCCTGCATCGGGAATGATTTTCACCGGTCTGCCTATACCCGACAGATTGTTGTTCCGTATTCTGAGAAATGGCTGTGTTGCGAAATCCGGAACATACGGCTTCTTGGTCATCCGTGCCTTTGTTCGACGCAATTGCTGAGGCGTCGTCAGATACTTCTTCTCGATCATCCGCGACCCAAGCAGCCAGGTCTTGCCGGGAACGATGCGATCAAGATGATGCTTGTGCAGGCTTTGCTCGAACACCAGCAATCTGCCCCTGAAAAGTCGCTCCGCCATGACCTTCGCAAGGGTCGGGGCACGAACGATTTCGTCGACATCCGACAATAAGACAAGATCGTCGGGATCACAGCTTTCCAGCGCACGTGAAATGCAGTTTCGCTGGTAGTTCTCGCGTTCCCAGTCCTTTTTCCGGCGGTTCTTGTAGACACCGAGCGCAGGTGGAAGCTGGTCAGGGAACCGAACCTGCAGATCGATGATCTTGTCGGCCCACGGCGCGAAACGGTCTCTGTTTTCATCAAAATAGAACGGCTTCGGTGATCCGCGCTGTGTCTGATCGGCCTCAACGAGAACAAACCGGTCAACACTGTCGCCCATTTCGCGCAAGCGGATTTCCAGGAGATCAAACTCGTTGTGAAAGACAAAACAGTCATAAAGCATCATCTTTAAAGTTCCAGTTCCGCCCGTTACATGCTTTTCCAGAGCCTGAATTTTGCCCGCAGGATCTTTTCCTGCAGATATCGTTTCGCCTTGAAACTCGCCGGCAGACGCAAGTCTTCCGCCGAATAGGTTCCGGACAGAAAGGCGCTGTCAAATCGCTTCATCACTGCTTCCGGCCTGTAGGGATCGACTGACCG